TTCAGGAGGCGGCCCACATAGTCACGCATGAATGTCGCGTCCCATAGGACGAGCATGGCATCGGAATGCTTTAAGAAGGCACCCAAACTGAGCATCGCTTCGGCTTTCAGCTTTTCATCAGATGCGATACATATCCTGTCGAGAAAGACTGGCTGGCGCCTTTGCCAGAAAAGCAGCGTGAAGACATACGTGAAAGTCGCGAAGACGGAGCACCATCCTAGGTGGCCAAAGATGCTGGGCAGGACCCCGTAGCAATAGAGAAGTCCTGCCAGGACCGCTGAACCCGAGCCCAGTGCCGCAGCTGCAGGACCATTGTTCACAAAGTACACAAAGGCAATCTTTTGCCAAGTCGACCCGTGCCAGCTGTGCGACCAAAATTCAGCAATCTTTGTGCTGATCTGGCTGTGTCCATAAAATTCGCCCTGTCGCACGCGCAGAGGGCGGGCCAAACACCGCAGCGTCTCACATGCTGGCGTGGCGCGCAGAATCTCTGGCGACGTTGGCTGCATCCTGGCAATTATGTCGCAAAACATGTCCTCCACATCCACAGAGGAAGATTCATCGTCTGTTGGATGCCCAAGCATCTGCCATCTACAACTGTTTTCTGGGGCAGGGCCTTACACAAACCTTCATTGCGGCATATTTACAAGCTGCATAACCATCCTTCATCATGACGCAAGCTGCTAGATAACATCAAGCACAAGGCAGGGGTAAGGAATTCAGACTTCAAAGCAACTATGGGAACCTTCTGGGCTGGTGAGTAATATAATGTATAATGCACTGATCCGTCAAGTGCACGGAGATCGCAACGTGAAACAGGCACATCCAAAAAGTTCAAAACTCTTTAAACACAGACTCATCTCAATTATGACGATCTGATCGCTGCAGCATAACCATCACTTTTCTTTTGCTTCCCGGGTTGCTCCATTGGAGAGTTGGCATCATGTGCCTATATCATCTGAGCACGCTGCTGGCGCTCATCTCCTTGGCTTTGCCTATGCCTTGCTGCTCAGCGGCGTGGGCTGCGCTCACGATCGCGCGCCCCGCCTCCGCCTCAGAGCGCTGAGGCGAAGTCTCCAAATATCTCCAGCCCTCTGAAATTGCATCAATTACTACATCAGAGCTGGGCATGTGGCCAAGCTCACCACAGTCCTGCAATTTTGTGCGGGGGGAGATGGACACTTCAGAACTTGGCAGGTGGACCTCGATGACAACAGGTCGCCTAGTCCTCAGCTTCTGGCTGCGCTCTGCCCTCTTCACGCAAAAGCGCTTGATGTTTCGTAGGATTTCCAAGTTTCCTATTAGTGCTCTCGCTGTCTGCTGATTCCCAAGCACACCAAACGAATTCTCACAACACACGCAGGAGGAGCTGACAGCTTGCAACGCAGATGGGCATGTTGCGGGAATGCGGCAGATGCCAGCACGTGATGAAACGTGATGTGGGATAGAGAGGGGCACCGCTCATGGCACCAAGGCTGTCAAGAATTGAACAGGTCGCGCAAGGGCTTGTAGTGTAACAAGTCAGTTTGTCAATTGAAGAGACGCGGATGTGCGAGTGGATATCGCGCGCAACTACAAGGTTGTGAAAGATGGGGCAAAGAGTAGAACGAGTCCCCGTGGCAAGGATTGAAACACCTCCGCTCATATAAGTAGCTGACGGCTGAAGTGAGATTCTGGAACAGGGCGTGCTTGCAGTAAGACATCTGGGGCGCGCGCTTGCCTGAGCTGGTGCCCTCCTTCTCGATGTTCCGCACCTCAGTGGTTGAGAGGAGTTGTTCTGTTCCTTCGTCTTGACATTACTGCCATAACAAGATTCATGAGACAAATCCTTTCGCGAGATGGATCCTGTAGCAGCAGCAACTGCAGCAGCCGCAGCCCCGAAGCATGATGTTTTGAATCTGAAGGTTCATTTTTCAAGATAGCAGACACTGGCGTTGCGAAACCTTGCTCTGAATACCTGAATTCAAAGCATTCAACTTGCCTCCAGCGGGCTCCAGTGGCCTGATTCCAACCCCCACTCTCGGGTCCAATCTTTGGCTGAAAAGCTTCCTATGAGTGGACACTTTACCCGAGGTGCTCAACTGAGACTCAACCGGTGCCTTTCTTGACCTGACTGTCTCACAAAGATGAGGCACCATGAGAACACATCTGCTCATGCAGGGCTTGCGCGGGACTTACGAAGGAACTCTTGCGCAAACGAATGTCGCGTTTCTGGAAGAACGCTAAAAAGTTCTACAAGTGGGGGCTTCCCTTCTGGAAGAACGAAACCTGGCTCTGAGAGTCCGAATGGCGGCGTAGCAAAAACTGAGGCATAGCAAGGTTTGGCAGGGCGAGTTCACTTTGCGCGCTTCGCTTCAAGAGCTGTGGTACTGAATCGTGCCTCGTATCCGCCGACCTTGGGGGCATGTTGGATGGTTGAGAGCGTGAAACCCTCTTCTTTTCTCTCTTACAGGTCAGAAACACGGGGCGGGGAGTACCCCGGCTGCTGTCCCTCCAGGCGCATCTCAAAGCAGCCGTTGCAGCTGCGGTTTGGAGTGGTGGCGCCCCTTGGGCCCCAGGCCCCAAGCCCCTGGAAGCCCCAGCCTCAAGCCCCTCAAGGCCCGGGACTGCTGGGCCCCAAACAGTCAAGGTACTGCGGGCCCCCTCGCGGCCCGCCACGCGTGTACGTCAGCCCCCATTTGCCGTGCCTGCGACCCTCCACACACGTTGTCGCTCGCACGCGCGCGTCTCCGAACCAGCGGTAGCTTGTGCGGCTCCGCATGTGCTGGTCGATTTACTCTCTGTGATGTATTGCCGACGCCGTCTCCTGCGAGCTCTTCGAGCACATGCATGCCGAGGCGGGAACCCGTTTTGCGCCTGTGCGTCCAGCGATACCCAATACACGCGCATGCCGCGCACATGCGTTCTCGCGCGCGTGGGAGAAACACTGACGTCTGAGCGGTGCGGCGTCCTGTCACAGCAGCTCATGCCACGTTGCGACGCTCCACTTGCCGCGTGGCGTGGTCCGTTTGCGTCGTCGCTTTGATACGCCGCATCCGTCCCTTCTCCGCCTCTGGGGTCGGCGGACTGAGCTGGAGGCTCTGTAGTCCGGCCTGGCCGTTGTGGTCCAGTGCGGATGCACGCCTAGCTAAGCTATGCTTATAGGGGCGCGGCCCGGTCCGCCGACCCCCTCCCTTGGGGGTCAAAAACTAGGATGATTTTTGGCTGCGTTGTTGAGGCTTCCCCCAACGCTACGGAGGGTTCTGGGCATGTTTTTTGAGGCCAGCATCATCAGCACAATTGGGCAAGGCCTTCGTTTCTCACTTTGGCCACCTCAACATACCTAGAGTTTTGGAGGGGTCTTGA